CCAACGTGATATAATGAATGTATTAATCATTTCAGAATATTGATACATTTGCAGCCGCTGACTTAGTACTACGACTTTTTAAAATTTATAACTAGTTATCGTTAACATAGTAGTATATTTTTTGTATTTTAACTTTAATTTTTTTTTTCGAACGTAGTTAATTTTGAACTTAAAATCAAATGAAAAGACAATTTTAAAAATATCATACAAAAAAAAATATTAAATTACATTTTACGTAAAAAAATGTTTAGCTAATTCGCAATTTTACGTAAAAAAATGTTTAGCAAATTCGTAATTTTATTCTTATGTCTAAACATTTAATTAAAAATATTAAATGCTAAAAATGTTCGATTAATTTTTATGCGAAAACGCATATCTATATATTGTATTCGGCTTCCAATTTTAGAAAAAATTATCGGTTGCGGAACTATTTTAAGATAAGAATAAAAGTAAAGGAGCTTTTTCCTTTAACATCAGCATAGAGAAACGTGAAGTAGTAGCCTGTGATGAAATTGGATTTTAATTGTCGCCTTTGCGTCTTTTTCATCTTCTATCGATTTTATTATGCAAGATATTTATAATTTTTTATACACACAACAGGACTATAAAAACTTTATGTCTAATTTTTGGAAATATATATATATAGGTATAGATTTGAAATGATTTATAAAAAGATATAAACATTTCAATGTATACGAATATTCTTCTCTAACAAAATTATAATTGGAGGAATTTGGGTTCTATCAGCGTCAATGCAGAAATTGATAAAATATTACAACAATCGTTTGATATAACTGTCAAGAAAAATATATTTCCGAAAGCAACATATAATTAGGACCAGCGAAAACCAAGTTGAGAGAATCAATGTACAGAATTTTAATCAGCTAGTTTAAAGAATTAAAATAAAGATGCAATATACATTTAGCTTGCGCAAATGCGAGAGAGCAACATTGTTATTAGTAAATACAATATAAAATCGGGCGGCTTTATAATTTTAGATGATTATTTAGTATATTGCGATAGGAGAGAAAGGAGCGTGAATATAATGCGACGAGTGTAACGATATGAGGCACGAACGACAACAGTATAATTACGTGACGCGATAGCCGTAGACTATATCGCTCGCATTAATTAGATAATATAATCGCAACATTCCATTGAAGCCGGGACTGCCAACCGTTTAATAAATACTGACCTGACAGTGGGCGGTGCTGCGAGGAAAGTCGATAATGCATGTAGATAATTAATTAATGTCTTTTTATTCATACTTGGAATAAAGATAAAAACCGATTAAAGCTTAAATCATTTATTTTATATCATATCTAAACACCGTGTCGAAACGTTCCTTTTAATAAATCGAAAATTGTCACATCTTGGAACAATACACGAAAAAACGTGTATTATTTAATTAATCGAATATACAACTTTGCACCGTCTAAATATACAAAGACATTTTTAGAAAGTAAAATTGATTTATTTGAACACGTATATGTATGATATTCGGGCAAAAAATCCGCAAGCTTAATTTTTAATTTTGTTTTAAGTTAATCCTATTTCAGCGGAAAGAAAGCTTTTATTCATTAAAATTATAGAACTTTATTGAATATTTTAAATACATTTTTATGCCGTTTTTGTACACGAAAGAAATTCAAACGGAATAGAATTAGCGTGAAAAACCTTTTAATGTACAATTACTAAATGTTCTTTGAACGAAATAGACACATACTTTTCTTAATTGGCATGCAGCTGAAAGAGCACAACGAAAACAAGTTCAAAAAAACTTAAATATATGTCATTCATAATTAATCGTATCATAAATCAAATAATCATTAACTAATCATAAAAAATTCCTGATGAGCACTGGATGGCAGTCCGGGCACACATCTTTGCTGTGCCAACGCAACGCGCATCTCTTTTATGTATATAATATTGTAATTCTAATTAATCCTTTTAGATAAAATAACTAAAAGCGTGCTACGTTAAGCGAAGGTAACATATAATATTCATCTTCATCGCTGATTAAAATAATATTTATTTATCATCAATTAAAAAGAATGTTTCGGATAAACGTTATTCATTTTCAAGGAAGTATATACATATTACATAGATACTCTTTATTTATAAACAATTTTGATGACTGATATATTTCAAGCAATCATCTATTTTTTAATCGATTTCATTCATTAAAAGTCATGTAAAAAGGGAATCTAAAATCTGCATAATAACCATTTCGATCTTTTCAATAAATGGTAAGCATTTCTAGAGAATTATACTCGTGTAATAGATAATTTAACATCTTTCTCTCTTGTTATAATTTTTCTTATTCTCAGCGTTAAATATCTTGTTATTATTGTCATTTCTCTTTTTCTAAAAATTTCTTTTATATTATCGAACTACATTACTTAAATTAAAAAAACCTTGTTTTAATTGCGAGTTTTTAAATATTTCATAACTTATATTTCAATATATTTAAAGCGTTTCTTTCTGTCGTAAAGATATATATTCCATAAATTCAAATGTTACAATAAACAATTGTCTAACTTTAAATATAAGATAGTTTTGAAGTATTTTCCAGGTTTTCTCTTTATTAATAAGGGGATAATAATGATTTTGAATATGGTGATATTAGGCAAAATAATATTCTCAAGAGAATTATTATCTCTCTCCCAAAAAATTATTTCTCCTAAATATCTTTTCTAATTAAAAAATTTTTATCTGAAATATTAATTGATGATATGTAAAGATATCTGTGAACATCCCGAAGTTGGGGCACAGAAGCGAGTCAATGGATAATTTTATGGCCGATGGAAAAATTTTGTAGATATAATTCCTCTTTGCACACACCTTCACATACATCTTTCTAAAGCTAATAACGCGTTAATATAATTGTATGTAATTTCTATATAAATTGTCATGATTACAACACGGCACAACCATACAACGTATAGTATATCAAGTTTGTCACTGTACGCAGAATAATGATACATTTAACATTGTACCTACCCCAAATTGCGTGCGTAGTATGCAAATTAATAACGTAATTTGCGTACTACGCATACTTAATACTAGTATACTTTGTACAATAATACTCGTCTTTTAGGAGAACGATTATGATTAAAGAGAGCTTCGTTTCAACGTACTGAATGTCAACGTTATTTTAACGATTACTCTGATATTTCACGGACGGGATTATTTTTATTACTTTCCATTCTACAGTAAGTCTATTCGATCTTCCCTTCCCGTTTCCCTCCTTTTTTTACGAATTTGTATTTTTTAATGCGCCAACCCCTCCTCCCCTACCAGCGAACCGGAGCTATCGACAGCTCCATTTATTGTAAGTTTCGAAAGACTTGTACAATATGAATAATCAATAATAAATCAATAATAGAAGCTTCGTGGTCCAAAATCAAAATAAATTGAAGTTGGAAATTATTTAGCTGTACCGAGTACGAATTATAGATGTAATAAATTGATATTTCAGCTTTAAAGATAAGATTTCGTCAAAGGAGAAACTCAAGAATAAAGACGTACTAATCCTACATATATTGTAACATACTTTGAATTACTAAATCTTTTCTAGTTTGGCAAACGCTAAATAAACTAAAGGAAGGTAGTATCGTCATCCTATGGGTCTTTAAATACAAAGTAACGAAGAGACAGACAAACTGGCCAAGGAATGATGGAGAAATCCATTTGACATATTGTTATTCCTTTCACCAAAGATGAGAAGGTTAAGAGATATTTGGAGAAAGAATACCTGGCTAGATGGAAGATTTGTGACGGAGATGAAATCGGGTATTAAAGTTGGACACGATATTATATCCACGTGGATTAAATTAGCCAACAGGAATTATGCGAATGGGATAATAATGCACGTTTCTGTACGATGTTACATAAGATTATATTTTGCAACTTTCTTCTCTGCGGTGTTTTTTTAGCGGGCCAGACCCATTAAAACGTGACAAAATGTTCATTCGTCATAATGATGCATCATTCGATTCTTCTTTTGTTTTCCTTTTTAGCTTCCCAATTTGTTTCTTCTCTTTACGATGATCAATCAGTGTTTAATCGTGTTTGCCATCAATTTCAGATAGTCTCTCAAATATACCGATCGAAAGAAGCGCGTATACGTAAACGTTGTCGCAAAATCTACACTACTCACGATGGCGAACTAATAATCTTTCTTTCACACACTCATGCGTTTCCTCTTTCTCTCTCCCCCTCTCTCTCTCAGTTTGAAATACAACACATATATACTCTTTTCATATTCATCCTCTCATCTTCTCGTAGCCATATAAAAAAAGCGCTCGGCTAGTGTAAATGGAAAATGAAAACAGGATTAATACAATTCCTCCTGGCTATCGCGAGTAGGAGCGCGGCGAATATTGTGCAAAGTAATACAATTGCGATGTTGATTAAAAGTCATATCAAGGAATCTTCTCTTCATGTTCATTTATGATTATTTTCAATTTGTAACAATATACATATAATATATCGACTTTGAGATATTTTAAAAAATGATTTCAAAAAATGTTAAATCTCTCCCTTTGTGTGTGTATATATCCTGAATTAAAAAAAAAAAATAGAGTCTAGTAGAATCGTCGAACCACAGATCATAAAGAAACGTAAAATAAATTATCATTATAATTAATATTTTTCAAATCGTGTTTAATATGTTTTTAATGCAACAGGCAATTTCGTTATCCTGCACAACATCCCTTCGCTATAAGTGTAAAATACACACTGCATGTACACATACATGTACATGTATATATGTGTATATATACGTACGTATATAATGAATGAAATTATAAACTAACATTTTATTTAATAATTAATAATATTAATAACATTAAAAGTAACTAATCCGTATTTTTATGATAATTACATATAACGAAATGTTCGCAGCGTCTATTTATTTGTATATTTCTTACACACACGCACACACATACATATATACAATATACGTTTGTGTGTGTGTGTGTGTGTGTGTGTATGCGCGCGCGCGTGTGGTGTGCGTGTGTATGTGTGTGAGAGTGTGTGTGTGTGTGTGTGTGTGCGTGTGCATATATGTAAGGTGTATGTAATGTACACATACATACACACATTTATGATGCGAGCTTACACTTGTATAATTGTTTTGTAAAGTATTTACAATTGCAGAAGGGTATGATTATTTTGTAGGCACTATGGCTTTGGACGTACACTAAGTTGTACGTTAGGGTACATCCTTGAGGGACTTCCAGACAATTTTTTCAGTGTATCCTTGAGATCTCGAGGAACAAGAAGAGGTATCTCTACACGAATCTCGCTCAATAAAACAATTCCAGCACCGCATTACTCGACAGTATTCAAGTGTTCACCGGCAAGAAACTATCTTTAAAAAAAAAATCCCGTCATCAAGTTCAGAACAGTACTACGCCTTAAATCTTAGGATCTTAGACAATATGATCGTTGCGAATTGAAATTAAATACGCATTTAAATATGACAATATAGTCTAAGATCTTTCACTCATTTTTTCATTACTGTACATGTGTACGTTTTGACTTTACGTTCATCTTCGTGACATTCAATAAAAAGTTGATCAAAGCGTGTGACTCCTATAATCGGCTAATAATATAATTATTGTTATAAAACAATTACTATTCTTCGCGTTTAATTTCCCTTCCACTGAATAACGAAAAATAAAATAATATATTCAAAATGGAAAACGTTTATTTATCTTGATTTGCCATTCGACCGGTTGGAGTTACAAAAGCACGCGAAATAAGACTATTATGTTGTCGAACGATTTATTAACAAGGCAACATATAACCGTTAAAAAAAACATACAACGTCCGAAGGAAGGACGATAGACTCTAGGTCGCATATAATTAAAAAAAAAAAAACATCCGCGTCTCAATAATACGCACACAGTCATTTTTCGCGCGCACGAAGTAATCCTCGCAATCTCGTCTTTCCCCCCTCTTCCTTTCTTCATTAAACAAGACTTTATATCAGAAAGAATTCGATGATTTTAACCGCCTCATTCATTTTACAATTGGACAACTACGAAAAGCAATTAGATCGTTGTCCGACACGAGTACAGTCTGTCCTCTCTCTGAATTCCCAAATACATGCTCTCTCCTATCTCTTAGCACAATTTACAATATTATTACAGATTGCACGAAAAAGCGCCTTCGCTTTTTAACTTTTCTCTGCTTTCTTTCTCTCTCATACACACACGCACGCACGCACACACACACTCTTCCTCTTTCATCTCTCTTCTATCTCTTTGTCTAATATCTTTGCAATCCATTCCGCAAACGTGATCAACGCAGACCATTTCAAGCCGGAAGCACACATTAACAATATTGTGATATGTTTATCCTGTGCCTCGGCGGTTCGGCTCTTTCACACAGAGTTTATGGTCCGCAATAAGAAATTAAAATAGTGTAACCACGAAATATTCCAGAATGAAACATGAGTACAAAAAAAAAACGTAAAATATTAAAATATTCTGATGCAGACAGATCAATAACATTCCTTTATAGTTTTTATGTGGAGCATACAATAACAGACGGTGTAAAAAATCCTGTTACCGAAAAATATAATGCATTCTATGTGATATATCTTTGATTTCAACAGGATGCAATTTATGAAACTATGACATGGCCTCGACTATTTTGTTGCTATTCTTTTAAGCCTTCTTGTACTTTTAAATACAAAAAATATGGAAAGTAAATTCCAGATATAAAATGGTGTGCTTAAAGAAATAATAAATAAATAAAAATGTCTTTGTATGTTTGCAATTTTTCGCGAAGATCGACGCGCGGAACGAAACTGCCAACTATCATCACTACGTAACGCGAAGGCGCATTATAAAACTGACAAAGCAGTTCCATTTGTTTGAGTAACAACCCAAAAAGACACGAACGCCCGTGCAATAAGCGATGATATTCCTAGAATTTAAAATCGAAGAGATCCGAAAGACCTTCCTCGGTGCCTAACGAGAACGAGTAGTCGTTTTCGGAGAGAGGTGGTTCCAAAGTCAGTAGTTGTTCTCCAAAATCGAGAATACTCAGATCTGTAACAAAAGTAAGAGGAATGACGAACTTGCTATATCAAATCCAGCATTATTTACATTTAGATCGTTTGCAAACAATTACTTAAGAAAATAATTCTGAAAGCTTTTAATATATATACGTACATAAAGATTCAATATTTTAAATAAAATTCTTTTATAATTTTTTAATGAATCACGTATCAGGAAAAGACTAGTTCCTAATTACATTATTAAGAACTGTATGTCAGTAATGTAGAATATATAATTTACTTATATATATATAGTTTTCTTGTGATGCACCATATATAAGTACTTTATTTTATTTAAAAAGTTCGCAATCAGTTACAAAGCGATTAAAGAGTACAATTACTGCATATTGTTAGTTTCAACAATGTTTCTAATAGATCGTTTAATTATCTAAGAAAATTGGTAATCAAAATAAAATAGTGCTGCAAAATTCGGGTCGATCATATTGATTTCTAAATTATATATATATATATATATATTCCTTGAAGAATTTTCAGAGATAGTTATAATGAAAAAAATTTTTTTTATGAAAAGCGCATCTTGCATCCATACATCCGTGTAGTATTAATGTAGCAACATCGTATAAAACATAATAGAAGCCAATATAGTTAGTATAGATGAACGTACCTTTGCACGACACGAGCTTTGCTGTTTGAAACCGTTACCTAACTAGAACTCTGCCTGTGATGTGATTTTGATAATTTCAACACACAAGTCACAGCCAGAGCTCCATCAGGGTACGGCCATCATCCATTGGTGAAAAGGCAGTGAAATATTCAAAAGAAAGGTAATGTACTATTAAGTTATATGAAAATATTCAACCTCTACCTTTCTTTTGAATAATATTTGTATCCACAAGTGATTATTAAATTGTAATACATGCAACACGTTCTTTTCAAATGAGGATGTAATATAACAATTTTGCAAGACAATTATCTTATACACATAATCTATATCTATTTTGCAAAAACTTTCGCTATGAAAAGAACGCTGAAGTCAGAATTTGTTTTAGTAATACAGAGACAAAAAAAGATTAAAAATATTTTATTTAAAAAAAAGATACAACTATGTGTGTACAAGGCATAAAGCATTAAACTAAATAAAGCGTTAGAAACTTTGCAGAAATAAAATACAAGAATTAAATGAAAAAGAAATGTACAAATACGCAACAATATACAGCAATATGTATTTATTAAAATATCAACAGAAATATTGAATTATAAATATGAAAAGCGAGAAATAAAGACTTTTTTTTTCTCATATTATACTATATTGAAATAAAGTATTAGAAATATTCTTTCTCTGTTATTGTGCACTAATAAACGCATGTATAATTCATATCTCAAATTTCTTGTGAAAACAATATATATGATAAAAAGCTATTCATTAATCGAGAAATCTTTAACATATTCTATCAATTTCTCAAAAATGCAAAGAATAACATATTAAAAAATTAATTTATTTCAACGTATAGTGCAAAGAGAATTTCTCGCTCACAATTTATGACACCATAATTCAATATAATTGCGTAAGAAAATAGAATGTCAGTTATGAATTCTATGTGCGTCGCATAAATATTGATATTTCTGTCGAATACTGATATTTAATATTAGAAATATGAATGTATGAAATAAAAAGGAATAAAATATTACATATTTACAAAATAACACATTAGATTTTGCGACAAAATATATTCATATATTCAATCACAGAATTATATTAAAAATTTTTTTAATTTTTTATTTCTATAATTTTATTTTTATTTGTTTTAATACATATTTAAATTTCTTATAATATATTTAAACTGATATAATGTATTTAAATATGCATTTCGATTTATAATTTAATAATATTATCAATAATGTTACACGATCTCTATATGAAAATATTATTTAAAATATAAATGATAGAAAAAACATAATTTATAAAATTAAGAATGAGAGACAAATAATTTCCTCGTGTGAATAAAATAAATACGAAATAGAAATTATTCTACAAGATATTATTATAGATGGAGGATATTAATGATTTACTGAAAACAGCTCAAAAAATAAATATTTGTCCCTACTTATTTTCCTTCACAATTTCAGAATTTTTATTATTTATAAATCGGCCATTAATATAAAATATGAAAGAAGCTTTTTCAAGAAAGAAAGCAAATTAAACAAGCATTATTTCCCTCTAATCTTACCTGAACTGATTTGGTCCTCTGTTTGGAGTTGGAATTTGCCACCGCCCATTGGTCCATAATCATCGGATTCGCATAAGAACGCGTCCTTCATGCTTGTTATACTGGTAACTGTAGTTACGGGGGTACACAGACGAGTATTTATGAAACTCTCATCGGAAGGTACTGGCTCGATTCGCATGTCGCTTTCTCGATTAGCCAACAATTCAGGAGGCAAACAAGGTATATCGGATTCTTTTGATTGAGGCACAGATTGCGTTGTTGCATACCCAGGATAGGATGTTTTGACTGTGGAATCCTCAGGACACAGAAACACATCTATCTCGCCGTGTTCCGATCTCATGTGCATTTGAAGCTAAAAACATTAATACAAGTGAAATATAAAACGCATAGTAAATATATATAAAATATTTTTCTCTAGACGTTGGAGAGCAATTTGAGATGCAAATGATACATATAAATAATATTAAATTCTTTGGATATTTTACCTTTTGTTGACCAAAGTTATTGATCGGTTGTGGGACATGGAGGGTAGCTTCCGGCGGGGCTTTCACAGCCATAATAACTTGGTCTTTGTACATTGAGACTGAACGTAAATCATGATACGTCACATAAGCGTATTGTCTATCCGCGCAGAGCTCGCGAAGGTTCTTATCAGCACCGTGAATCAATCGATCCAGAGTGTTCTCCTTAGCTTCCAAATCTGCGACCTCCCATCTGAGATTAGCGATATCATTCTGATTGTTCGGTAATTGACCGCCTCTATAACAAGCAATTAGTTTCGAGTATAATCTCCGGTTATATGTAGATGTAGATGGTAAAGAGAGACTGTAAGAGAGATGTACATATATCTTAGCAGATAACTTACTTCCACTGGATATTGTTTTTACTTTTCTTCTCTAAAATACCAATGCCCTCTAAAACATTAGTAATGTCGTATATACGACGTTTTTGTACCTCCAACTTTTCTGACGCTACATTTAAGTCCACCACACCATCCTGACTACTTTCAACTAAGTGAATAAACTTTTTTGTGAGCAAACTCAAAGATGTGTCATACCGTGTCCTTTCTACAGTTTTACCTGCAATGAAACAAACGATTCCTTTCTTGAATGACATGCAAAAGATAAGAGAAAGATCATAAAGCAGAACAGATATTTACTTTTGGTGGGTGTATGACCAGCTAAAGAATTTGAGCCGGATCTTCTACGTTTACCTCTGGGTGTTTTGAAGGCAGACTGGCTGGGACCAGTTGTCCCTACCTCCAAATTCAGTCTTCTTTTTACCGCTTGAACTGATATCTGTGAAAAAGAAAAGGAAATTGTAACTTGATTAGACAAGTGCCAATTAAATACTTTTGTGTAAATCAACATAGATATTTTGATATGTCAAATTATTATAAAAAAATCTGAGATACTATAGAAATTTTACCTCAGTATCAATTTATCATCATCACTCATCAATCATTTTACCTCAGCTCTTGGTGGTGGTTGTGTGGGTTTTCTTGTTATTTGATAACAAGGCGTTTGTCCGTATTGGTGATCCTGTAAATGAGGGCTTGGTGTTTCTTCTGCCACTTTTGGAGGTTGGATTTCATCTAAAGAACCATCATCCAGAAACTCAGACTTTACTGTAAAAAGATATTATTCGAGTGAGCTTAACAGTGACAAACTAATGTAAGACTTGTAATATTTTTCACTGCAAGTGACTTACACAATTTTGTTTCCACCATGTCTGGAGTAACTGGCCTGGCTGGATCCTCCAGGATCACTTGTCTCCTTACCCGAGGCATCCTGGTAATGTGATTGTGTCTGAAATAATTATACATACATAAAACTATACAACTGTCAAACTGTACAAAACCACACGCTAATTACTTCCTAATAAATAATCATTCTGTCTGAAACGCCATAATATCAATCTTCCAAACATTTATAAGACTAAAAAATAAAATTCAAGAGATACATATAACAAGCAGGAAACGATATACCGATATGATATACTCTCAACCACGCGAGATGCAACAGATTGACGCGATCGGACATTTCGACGCGAGATCACAGTAAGTTAATCCCGGTACGCGACAAGTTTCCTGCCGCACGATTCGCGCGATCGAAGCAACGAGACTCGCGGATCCGCGGGTCGTGTCGTTACACCGCGAACACGACCATTCGGCCATTCGGCACACGAGGAAAGAATCGAGGAAATGACGGCAGCGCACGGACCTATTTCTAAGCACGCTCTGCATTTTCGGCCGTTAACCGCTGCTGCTCGCCGCGCGCGCGTGTGATTCGGCGCGTTACACGTGCGATTGCGGCGGTGAGTGTCATTTTTAAATCCCAAGGTTTTTCAGTTCTCGCACGAGGGGACAGAAAAAAAAAAAAAAGACGCGCCGCGTTGACAACGGATGGGTGACCTGTCCGCACACCGGGCGTGTAAAAGTCGTGCGTTGTATTCACACACGTGTGCGCGCGCGTATACACTACATAACGGAAATAATAAGGGCGACGCGAGCACCGCAGTCAGGCAATGCTACGTGTGCGATATTAGCATCTTTCTCTCTCTCTCTCTCTCTCTCTCTCTCTCTCTCTCTCTCTCTCTCTCTC